ATACATAAACAAAAGCATTATTTACCTGCTTAATTTTATCAGTTCATGGTCATAAACTATCCTTTCTGCACTTTTGCTTATTATTACAGCTACATAGTGCCAAAGGCTGAGTGACAAGACAGTCAGGCCGCTTAACAAATAGCCATTCATAAAGTTGAATTCCACGGAAGGGTTGCCACACATTTTGTTTTTCCCTGGATTGTTTCTTTTTCTGTTTTTTTGTGCGAAAATGATTATTCTTTCATGGGACACATATTGTTCCAAAGTAAATGGACCCTCTACTGTTCTGTTTTTTTACTCTTTATGTTTACACATCCGATCCCGTGCATGTAAAAAGGTATAAATGAGTAGATCACAGCAACAACTGGCCATATGCCTACACTTCTTTTTAATTGGTAGCAGAAATATGAAAGTTTACCTCATCACCTAGCAACTGCTGCATGGGCTGTCACTGTCTTAGGTAGGCTATCCAGTCATTTCACGTTATTTTGTGCAGTTAGTAGGCTACTGTATTCCTGGCTGTACTGTGACCGCTTTACACTTCATAGCTGACACATTGGAGTGCAGAGATTACTTTTTTTTAAAGCCTCTGACAGGATGTTACAGTTAGGCTACTCTTGTGTCTCGTGTTGCTGTTGGGATGATTAAAATGTCTAATGTAGGTTTTGACAAATCCACGTGCATCAAAAGCCTGGATCGCTCTGAAACAGCTTGACAAAAATGATTCATAGGTTTCTGTATGTTTTCACCCTAACCCCAACCCTTTTCAGCCACTGATGTACTCCATCTGTGTGTCTGTGTCCATGGCAACCAGTCTCTTTTACCCATTAAAGACTGAGGTTATGTGCTCCTGTTTTTGTCATGTACATAGTATGAACCCAGCATACTCATGCTACTCTTACATTAGTAACTTTTCTTATGACTTCAGTAAATGGTCAGGTGTAGTTAGTGAAGCTTATATACATAAATGGTCAAAAAAGGAGAGCAACAGCTGTGTCTGACTGCTGAGTGTTATCAGCTTGGCTGCAGTCAGGTCAAACAGAGGTAAGAAAGGCAATAGGGAGTCCTACAATTGATAACATAGTATATTTATAAATATGGTTTTACGTCCTGCATCACGTGTCAAATGTCCTGGTTTTCCACAAATCGAATGTGGCAACCCTAGTTACAGACAGAATCTTACATGGTGCAAACTGTCTTGATGATTTGCACAGCAGCTGTTCTGTTAAGGAGTACAAAAAACAACTTTCCTACTTTTCTATCCATCTAACCTTAACCCTTTGGCTCTCACTCAGAAACCCCCAGACAGCACTATCACTCCATTCCATAGTCTCAAGTATGTGCATCAAGGAATTGTAACATCTAGTCCTAAACTGAACTATTAATGGAAAACATGTTTTCTATTATTGTAGTCATGACAGCATATTATGTTAATGACATTAACTTTTGCATATACAATTTATACAGTACTTTATTATTATTACTTATAATCTACAACCAATAGGTGTGGGGTTTTTTCAGTGCTAATTCAGGTTCAGGCACCTTTAATTGGTTGTTTTCTGGTTCTCATTTGGTTTCCATCTACACAGATGGATATCATTGTCTCAGAAGCAGTTTGAAATGGTACCTGAATATATAAATCTGACCCTAGTTTTAATTCTTTGGTCTCTACTGCCTAACCAGATTTATTGATGTTCACATAAAATACTACTTGGCCTTATATTATCAGTAAGAAACCTCTTTTAGTTGTTAAATTCAGTGGTTGTAATGTCTCAGTGCTGCAGCCTCTATCTCAGTGGAAGCACAGGCTGATCTTACCTTGAGAGGCACTTGAGATTTGTAAGTTTCTGGTACTTCCCAGGTCAGCAGGACCGAGGTTTTCATCACAGCCTTCACACTGAAGTCCTTGGTGAATGCTGAGGGAAGGTCTAGATGATTATCAGATGGTTAATTTGATTGTGAATATGACAGAAGATTCAAAGTTGAAAGTAGTTGATGCACAAAAGCCAGAGGATGAAGGCAACTTATGTGAGAGAACAATTTGTACACTACACACTAATATCAGGGTTTGTGCAAGGTGCTTGAAATCCTTGACTTTGACACTCAGGAATGTAAGTATTGGAACACATGAAAATCACACATTTTTAACTGAGTCTTTGAAAAAGTACTTAAATATAATTGAGAAGACAATAGAATGATAACTTCTTCTATGAAATGTATTATAAATGCTTCAAATTAAGAAGGCAAGAATGGCAGAGCTTGCAATTATTTTCTAATGTGGTATGAGATCTGTGTGCCAACAGGTTGGTAAAGGCCAGTTAATAGTCAGTGCCTGGATGTTTTGCTAGCTTGCAAAATACTGACATTGGAGCAGCATCAGTCATCAGCAGGAGTTTGCACCTATAATTAGGCAGTAAATAAGGAGCTGTGTTTGTCTGACTGTTGATGGTGGAGCTGTTGAATGGATTTTTTGAGTCTGCTGGTTTCAGTGGGGGGGGGGGCTACCTCATCATGCTCTGCACTCTGTATATTTTCCTGCTTTTTTGTCCTTTGCCAATCACATGCCTGAATAATAATAACCAGTTAATTAATAATAAGTTATAAGCTAGGCCATGGTAGCAAGTGTTTTGCATCATTTACAAATGTGCACAGTTGTATTAAATACAAGAGGTCACAAGATCCCACAGATAATGATTGCCTCCTCCACAATTCCTTTTACCTCTATACAGCATTTTAGCAACAAATGGTGGTGCATCAGGAAGAGGAAGAGTCTTACCATTAATATTATCCATATGAATGTAATCCAGTGGCCTGGAGATCCACAGAAATGCCAGTACTGATGTTTCCCACAACAACTTGTAAAACATCTTATCTTTTCTGTTCAGTTGATTTAACACATGCAGTCATCATACACCACCACATATCATACAGGTGTTTCATCTACAGGCACTACTTTGGGAGATAGGCTGTGCGTAACTTCACAGGATGACAAAGCAGCAACAACTTTGTGCCCTGACACAATGGCAGGATTGGTCAGGATCTAACAGTAAAAACTGTTTTTCTAAACATCAGACAGGAAAGCTAGTATTCTCAGGATGAATCTTGAGTTCCATCAAATCCGTCAAGAGATTTTTCTATTCATTGAGTCAAAACCCTGCCTCCTCTGAAGTGTCAGAATATTTTGTTTCTGTCATGTCAAGAGGATTATTTTTAGTTTACCTGGTTACAGTAAAATTAAAATTATTCACAGTTGTGGCTTATGTGGGTGTAATGATGCACAATATTTACAGTTCAGTTTGAAACAGTGGTGTCACGGTTTGGTTATGATACAGCAAGAGTTGAAATGCCAGAGAAATTCCCTTGATTTTTAAAATTGTAAATGTATGAAAACTGACATAATTTGGGCTTTTGGTTTTTTGTACAAAGCAGGAATTAAGGTCTAGCTGAAATGGGCTTGTTAAAGTGTGGGTAAAGCAAAATCAGTGATTTCTTCCTAAACACTTAACACATGTTACAAAATACTTTTTGAAAACGTGAAAAGACTAGGAACTGTGTAACAGTGAAGTGTAGAGTTAGACCCTTGAACTGTTTTTCACCATTTTTGTGACCAGGATTTTTTGGGTGAGCCTAAAATCATGGCTTGATTACGCACTAGAGCCATCCTTAACATAACCCCTTTCCTACTATATAAAAACTCAACTCAACTCAACTCAAACTTTATTTATAGTGCTGTACAGATTAAAAGCAGCATGGATGTTAAACGTAACCCATACTATGCCGCAACTAAAATAAATACTAAAATACATAAACAGAGTGCAATAAAATAGAATAAAATAAAATAAAACAAATTAAATTTTAATTAAGATTTTGCCAGATGTCCGCTTAAGCTCGATTAAAAGCCAGGGAGAAGAGGTGAGCTTTTAAGGAGGATTTAAAAACCTCAATCGATCCTGCAGAGCGGATGTGCCAGGGCAGGTTGTTCCGGAGCCTAGGGGCTGCCGCCACAAAACCTCGGTCACCTTTGGTTTTTAGCCTCATTTTGGGGGTGACCAGTAGCAGCTGATTTGAGGATCTCAGTGTTCTGGCAGGGGCATGAATACGAACGAGCTCAGTCAAGTACTGGGGGGCTAGGCCATTAAGAGCTTTGAAAACAAACAATAAAATTTTAAAATCTATTCTAAAAGCAACCAGGAGCCAGTGCAGCGAAGCTAGGACAGGGGATATGTGGTCACATTTGTGTTTGCCAGTGAGGCAGCTGCATTTTGTACCAGTTGCAGGCGGTGCAAGAGTGAGTGATCCAGGCCAAAATACAGTGAGTTACAGTAATCCAGTCATATGTTAATAAAAGCATGGATTACAGTCTCGAGATCTCTACGTGGCAGGTACCCTTTTACTTTCGATAAAATCCTCAAATGGAAAAAGTTGTTTTTCACGACCGAACTAACCTGGCGATCAAATTTCAGCCTGTCATCAAATATTACACCAAGATTTTTCACTGATGACCGGATGTTTGGTGTAAGGGGGCCCAGAAAGCCAGCAGGAAAATCTGCTGGACCACATCCAAACATTATGATTTCAGTCTTGTTTTCATTTAGGTTCAATAAGTTTGCGGTCATCCAGGATTTAACATCGTTTAGGCAATCAAGCAATGTCTGTACAGAGTCATTGGATTTTGATGTTAATGGCAGGTAGATCTGAACATCATCGGCATAACAATGAAAGGAAAGATTATAATTCTTGAAAATTGACCCTAATGGTAACATATAAAGCAAGAAAAGAATCTGCCCGAGGATGGAGCCTTGGGGGACCCCAGAGATGAAAGGGGCTGAGGATGAGGTGAAATCACCTAGCTGCACAGAAAAACTCTGATCAGTCAAATAGGACTGGTACCATGAGAGAGCGGAGCCTGTAATGCCCACCCACTGCTCCAGTCGTGCTAAGAGGATCCCATGATCCACAGTGTCAAAGGCAGCTGTCAAATCAAGGAGCGCTAGCATAGCAGGGTTTCCTGAGTCAACAGTTATCATTAGATCATTAAAAATTTTCAGCAGTGTTGTCTCAGTGCTATGGCATGGTTTAAAGCCAGACTGAAACTTCTCATAGATATCATTAGCCACTAAGAATGATTGGATCTGAATAAAAAACACTTTCTCTAAAATTATGGACAAAAATGGCAGTTTAGAAATTGGCCTGAAGTTAACAATGTTAGGCTACTACTGACATTACAGCATATAGAATCAATGTTGTTTCTATTGCCTATTGTGTGTGAGCAGCGAGTTCCCTACATCCTACGAGCTCTCTGAGCTCTCTCAGTCTAATAAATACATGAATAAACATCTCTGTTAAATGCCACAGTCATTTGAACACAAGCTAAATGGCTGTCACTAACATACCTTTCAGTCTATCAGCCAGAATCTCCTACCCAGCCTGCCAGCAGTCACTGCTCACTGCTGTTGGTTTGTGCTTTGTGCTAACATTAGCTGCTGAACGGGAGGTTGCTGCTGCACAGCAATAATTGTGTGTGCTGCTGGCATAGCTACTAAAGAGACTCTGTCACTGTGCAGCGGCTTGTGCTTCGGCTCAGGGGTCGAGTATGATACTTTGCCACCGGGTTAGCTGCTAAGGAGAGTCTGTAGCTTTGTGGCTTAGTGTGTTTCAATCCACCACTCTCTCTCTCCATTGCCCTCATTATTCACAGTGAAACTGATGTGGCTCCAAACAGCAGACCTGTAGATTATTAGAAGATCTTCTATTATTGCTCTAAAAATGGTGTTACTAACCATCTTCTTATGAGTTAGCTTGGCGTAGCTGCCTCCCAGTTTGTCTCACTGCAGTAGAGTGTTCTGGTTTGGGGGTGGGAGGGGAAGAGGGCATGTTGCCTGTTCTGTCCTGTGGGCGACCTTGTTGAGTGCTACAGCACTGACATTATATTAAATACAGTTTAAGCTGTAGATTTTATTTTCCATATTGTTAGTATGTATTTTTACATCTCCACTGACCAATAGATACTGGTCAAGACCCCCCAGGGGATCATATTCCTCATAGCGTCAGAAGTGCTAGGCTTACTGATGAATAGACAAGTTAGACTCATTTTAGTTGGCCCAAGGTCAAGTTAAATGTGTCAGAGCACCATTTTAGGTAACATTATACATGCCACCATCCTATATAAACTGTGTCTCTCTCTGCTCACAATCATCACATAGCTTCTGCATGTAGCCATTGTTGATCCGAGCTCGTAATAAAACGTGCATTAAGAAAGAACTCCGTGATCAACCTTGAATTCTCTAGATCATCACAGAAACACCTACTACTACTAATCTAATAATCTCTACATACATAAAGTTTTTTTGCTTACCTTCAAGGCGCACGTGAAAAGTACCTAGACTGACCAAATGTCCTCTTTTGCCCAGACATGTCCACTTTTCACGTCCCGTCCGGGGCGCCCGGGGGGTTTTTATAAAGTGATGATAATGTCCGGTTTTCCGTGTGTTTGTGTGTGTGTGTGTGTGTGTGTGTGTGTGTGTATGTGTTAGCTATTAAGTGCGGCACGGGCAGCATATTTCTGTCCAAACCCGAACCAAGCCCGACATTATTTAATGACCAAAGCACTGAGTTTGTGTCACACGGTGGTTACAGGCTATTTAACAGGCCGGGCGTGCGCTGTGGGTGCTCAGCTGCGGAGAGGGAGACCTCCGTGTTTGAGACGGGAGCGGGAGGCGGGAGGTCCGACGCTTCCAGCGAGAGGAGAGGGAGAAATAAAACAAAATAAGATAAAATAGGAAAAACCTGTCTCCCTCTTTTATTTTATTTTCAGCGTTTAATCAAGGCGGAGGCGGGCGGCTGGAGGTCCGAGACTTCCAGAGAGGAGAGAGGTAGAAACAAACAGCCAATGTGTGTGTGTGTGTGTGTGTTATGTTCAGGTGTTGTC